TAAGAAGTGGCACTGCTGGCAGGAGTTGCTCAGCAAGGCTTGTGCAGGGCAGGTAACCTGCTGCTAGCCACTGGCCACCTGAGATCATCTTCTGGTACAAAGCAGTTGTGCTGTGTGCTCTTTGCTGATGGTCATTACAGATAAGAGGCTGTGGCTTCTTCTAGGGGGTCTTTGCAATGCTTCACTGAATTGCCTTTGCCATTTTGGAGAAAGGACTCAGAACTAACGACATGAACAAAATTCTTCTTTTCTCCCAGCACATTTAATCCTTTCCCTAAAAGATTAAAAGCTGGATTTTTCAAGAACCCTAGAGGCACCTGTGACCCTATTTAAAATCAACAGAGTGCTGGGAACCCACCTCCCTAATGTGTTACTGAAACCCCAGCTGAGCCCAGCCCACAAATGCATATGGTGCAGCTCCGGAGTGCAGGATGAACACCTGCATCACACCTACATTATCCAAGAGTGGCAAGGAGACTTGTCCAAGGTCATTTCATGTTGCAGTGAGGAACAGAGACCAGGGGCTCTGCTTCCCAAGTAGCTGACTGCTGCCCCGTGAGACCCATGGGAGAAGAAATCCTTCTTAACTGCAGCTATTTCACCAGAGGATGCTCGAAGGCAGCTTGCAAGAAACTTTGAGCATTTCTAATCAAGTTAAAGGAGGGCTTACAAACACAAAGTCATGTTGAGAGACATTCTCTGAATTTATTCACACCCTTGCTCCTAGATAAAAATAGCTGTATATGTTAAGTTTAGGTCCACCGAGAGCCTAGAGGATAGCAAGGGATTATCACAAAAGGGCAGCAAGGCAGTCAAAAAGAGCCTGGGGGACATCTTGTACAATTTCCATGAAGGGAATAATTAATTCAAACTGTATACAGACTGCGCTGGGAGTGTCCACTCTGGAGATTTTCAAAGAGTCCTTTGCTGCTTTGGGCTCACTTTAAATCAAGTGTCCTAAAAAAACACTTCAGCTATGCATTTCATTTCAGTTATACAGGGTGTTTAAATGCCAAGGGATGAGGGAAAACTTCGTTATTAAAGGGCTGTAAGACTTTAATAAGGTACACAGTCATTAGAAAGTTGTTGAGTCATGAAAATAGTCTCAATAATTTGAAATTAATGTTTAGTGTATGCTCTACCATAAAGTGCTTAGATGTTGTGGCCATGGATACTAAAGAAAAACCTTAAGGCCATGACTACACGAGCAAGTTACCGCAAGGTAAGCTAGGGTGTAATTTCAGAGCACACCACTTACCTTAAGGTAACTTCCCGTTTGCAGGCTGTTGTCCCAAGACCAGGGGAGGCAGCGAAGCTCTCGCTGAACGTGGCACAGGCTGCCCATTGTGGGCTGCTGGCTGAAGGCATGCACGTGGCTGGGTGCTGCAGAACACATAAGGTGCAGTAAATCTGTGCAGTAACAGCTTTGAGTAACTTTGCTCTCCAGCACAGATGCAAGGATGGACTATACGTAGCAATGAATGCAATAGAAAGGGGCACAGTTAGAAAGTCCAGAAGTTCAATGAGAAGGGCCAGAACCCGATGTGGAGATTCTGCTTCACGATAATATTAAATACATAAAATTAATACATGCTTGCAAGTAATAATCAGGGCTGTAGCATCCCTATACCACTGTCTCTGTTGAAGAGGTAGGGAAAAATGACTAACTACCAGAAGTTCTCCTCTATCCTCTCTTTTCTGGAAAAATACAACTATTTGAGAATTGAGTCTGCTTCTGCTGACCTGCCCTTTCTTTTCCATCTCTGCTTCCTGCCAAGCAAAATTCACCAAGTTCCACTTATGACTTTAATGAGACCAGAATTTCTGGATGTAGTTGTTGTGGAATGTGTTCCTGATAAATCATTTAAAACCCAGACAACAGAGCTCCTATCGCAGATTAACGATTCATCCTGGAGCTTGCCCTGAGCATGTCCAATGCTGGGTGGAAAATCACTGCCCTTCTAACCCCAGTGACTAGGGGCATCCCAGAGCTTGGAGGTTTTTCATTTCAACTCAGTAATTCAATTCGCTGCACAACTTTTCTTTCCTTCCTCCCACTGGTTAGTTCAATGAAGGGAGAGCTGTAAACTCTACAAAGTTTAGAAACTGTTTGTACCTCCTATTGTAAAAAAAGGAATGGACCTGCACCAAGAGAGCCCAGTTACTGCACAAGTGAGCAGGAGGAAGCACATGCGTCCTCCAGACCAGCACTGTAGGTACTGCACACCACTTAGTGCTTTCTAGATGGAAGGAGAGAGAGAAGACAAATAGGACAAAGAAGAAAAGTAAGGTTTTCCCACATTGTTTTCCTTCCCCATACTCCTATGCCCCCTCTCCTAGCATCACCTTTCTGACCAAGGGGAGTGGGATGTATTTTGCAGCCATCACACCTTACGCAGCAGAGGAACGTGCCATGGTGGGAACTGCCTCGTACCCCACATGGACACAGGGAACAGGTTGCTGATCCCAGTCAGCACACTGCCTGAAACTACTAGAAATTAAGCAGAAATTATGGTTCCCTTGCTAGGATAGGGTAACCCATATTTCTACTGTTGCCCAGCTCTACAATGAAGAAACATCATTATGATGTTTATTGAAAATACAAGTCCGCTGTCTGGTTGACTGTGGGCAGCTGTTTTCTGTAGGTAATCACAATATCAGTGTCTCAAGAGTTAAACTACCTGGAAGAAGGGGATTTTAGTAGAAGATCCGGAGTGGCAAACATTATCAGCAGTGTTAATCTGTCACATCTTTCCTGGACTGTACATACCACGCTCCATCACTCTGGCATGTCATGGCCTGCATTGTTACAAGATGTACTGAAGCTGTAGCCAGCCATAGTTTGGCATCTCAGTGAACCTTCTGATCCAAGAAAATACGGGAAGGAAAAAAAAAAAGATGCCATTTCCAAAACAAAACAAAAAAATAACAAACCAATCCACCTCTAAAAAAGTAACCAAAACTAACCCCAAAACTTCTAAGCAAGTACTAAGATCATTTTTTTTTTTTTTTAAATGCAACTATAAAACAAATCTGTTTGAGTTGAGGGTGAGCTAGACCCTTGAATCCACAGCACTTGAGGAATGCCGGATGGCCCTAAACCTACAGCTTTTCTTTGTCATGTTTCTCTCTTATTCAGACACATACAAAGGAAAAAAAATAAAAAATATAAATTTGTTTTCCTGGTTCTGGCTAGAACCTGGCCCACAACCAGGCTGTCCTGAAAACATCCCATATCTGAGCCTGGAAATGCAGCAGACTCGAGCTGGACCAGTCTATGGAGTTGACGCCACTGGGGTGCCCAGAACCCACAGCCCGGAGCCCTGCCCTGCGAGCAGACACCAGACTGCAGACACCAGATGAGAGAGAGGGAAGGCTCTTGGCTCTATTGTTGTTGTTGAGCTACTGGAAAGGAGCTAGGGAGAGGAAAAATGATCTGGATAGGAAGAAAAAAGTCTCACAGGAATGGATGATCTCACTTGTCCACACACACGCCCAGACGTACAAATATATATAATTAACTGGAAAATACTGTGTGGTATAAAGGTTTCTTCAGCTTGGGTACATCATAGTTGGGCTAGTCAACTTTGGTACAACCATAACAAAGAGTGCTTCCCACACACCTCCTGCTAAGAGCTCTCCTACCACATCATAGCATCTTAGTATGCATTTATATCTGTTGATAGGTACCCCTATGCTTTTCATACACAGAAAACTAGACATGTGATACAATTATTAAATGTATTATATATTAAATAGCCTATGCAGTCATCAATAGAATATATACCTTCTGTGTACACACATGTTCTTATACAGGTCATTTGTTGACTCCTGCAAACTGCCACAGGGGTATATAAGGGACAGGAGGTCAAAGCAATATCCCATTCAAATACCATAAAGAAGACAACTCAAAGGTTTCATCAGCTTTTGTCCCTGTGCAGGCCACACATGGGAGAACAGAGGGACAGCAATTCTAGCACCCCATACTATGAGATTTTAGGGTTCCTTAAGCAGGCCCATGACAACTTAGAGAGAATTGCAAAAAGCAGCCCAACTTACAGCCAAAACTCATCAGTTTCACAGGCATCACAAAAGACTTTCTGAATCCTCATTTCCTAGACCATTCCTACTAAGGGACACAGCAAAGAGTGCTTCTTAGGCCCTTACCAGCATGCCAAAGCAGTGATGCCGTTTCTATGCATTATTACAATGCCATATGGCATGACACAAAGGCTCTTGTTCTCTTCTGTTCCAAAGAGGAAGCTTTTATCTGGGCTTGTTGTTTCAAGTGAAGCACATGGCTTCAGACATGAGCCTCTATTTGTTTTTGTTTCTTTTCTTTTCTTTTAAGGAAATAATGTTAAGTAATCCCATGTACTTTCCACTCATCCTGCAGATGAGGTTGCATCCTCAAACACAGCTGGTGGTACATATCGTCTCCACTCTGGATGTGCACAGGTTCCCTAATGGGGACCCTCTGCTCTGACCAGGGCATACGTAAGTACTTTGGAGCCACAGCCTGACAGCAGAAAAACTTCTTCATTGCAAAAAGTAGATCATCTAATTTTTTCAAGAGCCAGGACTGTCTTAATACAACCAAAGAATGGGGGAGCAGGGAGGAGAGAGGAGCTGCGCTAGGTACCTCCAAAAGCTACAACATGGCTGTGGCATTAATGGAAATAGTTAACGACGTTCACTGTCTTGCTAGAGTAGGAGTTGGTATGTTGTTTGTTTTTCACTGAAAAATAGGCCAGTATTTCTCAACAGGAAGGCCCGTCTGGATCCCAGACAAAGAGGGCTCAGGAACACCAGCCCTCAAATAACCTAACCACTCGCTCATCCCGACCCTTTACACATTCAAGAAAATTTACCACCACAGCTGCAGAGTGGGTCCAGCTTCCCCACAAAACAGTTAACTTGATCCCTGAGCAGAGACACTAATAAGAGAAGCCAAGAATGGTAATTTTTTAGGTAACAAGAATGCCCCAAACTTTGCTGACCTTATGTGACTTTTAGCTTCTTGTTCCAAGTGCCAAGCTACTGAAAAGCTTGTCTGTTTTTTAAGACTCCAGGTCATTCCTTTCTCTGTGTCCAAGCTGTTCTTCCAATATCTTTTTAAATCGGCTGCTTGTTTCCAGTGAGTAGACTCTGAGAGACAGGAAAAACTCTGTAAGAGAGATTGTCTTCTTGCATATAAATCTTACTTTGAAAGGAGACGGTATTTTTGGAATTCAAGGGTTGGGGTTTTTTTTTGCTGCAATATTTTTTGCTCTGTCACTTACAGGAACTCTGTGTATCTAGAATGAAGGTACTTATTCATCTCTAGCCTAAACCAAGGGGCACAAGATAAAAATCTCCTTTTCCTAAACATATTTTCTAGATTAAGGAGGTATTCCCTTTTAGTTTGCTCAGGACTTTCTTTATTTGTCTACATCCAGGTGTGCAAGTTTCTGGGAGGGAATTTGTCACCCACCTAAACACAATATAAGCACAGGTTGTTGTTTTTTTTTTTTTTTTTTGGTTGCTCTGGTTTAGTTTGTCTTGCTCTAAGATGCCCTGTCTGTTCCATGCTTCCCCCTGTTTGTGTATTGGGAGGAACATTAGTCATGGCACAGACAACTCAGAGATGCTTTGAGGTTCAGTTGCACGTTGTAAGAGCCTTGACCAAAAGCATTATTTATTGCCAGTTACTCACAACAATAACAACAACAACAACATATGTAAACTTGCAAGAATGAGTTAGGAGTGTCAAAGGAAGAAAAGCTCTGCCCTCAAGGCTTACATTTTATAAAAACCTGATGGTCAGAAAGAGCACAACACAGTCAGATTGAAAAGCAGCCCAGAAAAGGGCTTGTTTAACACCACAGGTGGTGCACAGGCTTCAGATGTGTCCACCCATACTCACTAAAGCCAGGTCCTCACCCGTGATGCCTTCCAGCATCCATCCCTTGGTCTATACTCTACTGTTCTGGCTGGCAGAGCCTCTGTCACTAGGGTCTGGAAGCAGCATGGAGCTGGAGAACAGCTAGCAGGCTCCTGGCCACATGGTTAAAGCCACTTTAAATCCCCTATGGTGACTGAAGCCTGGTGCTGTGGGCTTTTCTTTGTCATGGGGCCCAACGTGCCCCTGGCACAACAAGCTGAGGCACGGTTTCATGCTTGGGCAAAGAGAATACCAAGAGATTTGAGGACTTTGTGTCTAGGCTGACATCCTAGAAAAAGCAAAGTTTTTTCCTGCCCAGCACCTGGCTGGTTGCACTAGCTGCTGAGGTACACCTCGGTGTCCCCCAGCCACACTGCTAACTTCATTATAAGGCAAAGAGGGAAGTATAAAATATTGAAGTTGGATCGCTGGCTAATGGCTTGCTATTCCTTTCTCACCCCCACAAACAGCAGGAAACCTCTAAGATGGGGTGAAGGGCAGAACAAAGCAGCTTTCTGATCTGTTAATGCTCACATAGCCACATTTAACACCAGAAGAGCAGCAGAGCCCAGTTTGCCTTGCAGTGCAGATACCTCTGCCTGATCTGAGCGCTCAGGGCTCACGTCATTGCTTTTGGAGAAAAATAGGCATTTTTAGGAGAGATTAGCAAGGCTTGTTAGGGCTGTCAGGTAAAGGTGACTCAGCCCCTAGACACACCTCTTGCTCTCTGCTTAATTAGAAGGGGTGTCTAGACAGCTCAGGTCTGGGCATTGCCATGTCCACGTTTGGTGGGAAGAATCCCCCTCAGAGAACCACACGGTGTGCCAAGGAGGCTCTCTGATACCACCTCGGTAAGCAGGGCAGTGTACTACAATCAGGAAAAAGAAGCCTAGACCCTCATGAGGATTTAGCAGCCTCACTCCTGGCTGACTTGCAGAGTCAGTCATGGGCTGCGCAGGGAAACCAGCAACCAAATGCCAGCTTTCCTCCACTCCTGGTCTTTCAGTAACTGCTGCTGCCTTCTTGGAGCTCTGCAGAGACAGCCAGGAGCCAAGGAGGGAGGGGGACAGGTGCTGATGAAGCTTGCAATTAGCCCTCCTGATGGATGGGCTTCTCCAAGCAACTCTCAGCATCTGGATGCAAACAGGCACACTGCCCTCGCTGCCACGAGGTCTCCAGGGCAACATCCATGGATGTGTACACAACAGGACCGTCAGGTAGCTGCTTGTGTGCCACTGAACGTCATCACAGCCTTTTATACTTGGCGTCGGGCTCGTAGAGATGAATGAGGCCGATATGAAAAATGACACCACCCTGCTGTAACGTGTCTCCTCCGGTGTCATTTTCAAAAGCCGATTACATGTCTACATGCATTTATACACAGACACAAACACACCTCACTGTTCTCTTTCATAGCACCACTCAGTTGTACCTGCACTGCTCGCCCGGAGGAGTTAAAGTCCAGAATCTGTACCTAACACATTACAAGACTCTTTTTATATATGTTTTATTTGTTTATTTTCACTGTTTGGAGTCCAATCCTAGTCAGGGCCATATGCAGCAAAAGTCCATAATCATCAAGTTTGTCTTCCGTTAGTGGGCTTACATAGCTTGGTACTGAAGAATGGTAAGTGAACGATTCTTATTAAAATTTCTAAATGCAAACATAAATTTGGAGTCCAGTTCTGCTTCCATTTGCAGGTGACTCCTTGAGCAGACAGTAACTCTCCAGAGAGAAAACAGGTGAGGTCTAGATGATCCTGGAGACAAGTTGCCTGTCCCAAACACAGGCAGGATTCCAAAGAGAGGAGTTAATGAATGATATTTGCTGCCTCACACAATGGATGTTCACATTAAGAACTTCACCCTCTCTGAACCCGGTTCACATTTTACCAAGCACCCTGTACTCATGTCTGATGGCTTCGAGGTTTTAGTTTTCCAACCCTTGGGAAGAATTGTTAAAAAATATATATTTTTAATCTTACCACACATATCAAGGTTCAAACAGATGAATCTCTTTTGGTAACCGGACCTGTGATGATCATGAACTTAAGTGAAGAACTTTTCAACCATTAGGAGCCGTCCCAGAGAGATGACAATGCAGCCCTGGAAATCAGGGGACAATGAATGCACTGACAAGTAGGTAGACAGGGATTCATGCAGAAATATCTGCATGTGCATGTGTGAGGGGAAGAGACAAGATGAACTAATCCGTTTCCTTGAGGCTATATCTTTACTCTGTCAGACTGGCACGTGTCTCCTTTGTTTTCGATAATAGAGGTAATTATACCTTAAATGTTCAACTGTAAATCCATCACACAATTAATGGAATTCAAACTGCACAGATCTATGGGAACATTTAAGGATGGATTATGGTCAGACATTCTGAAAATCACCCTCCATATTTTCCAGCTCTTGACTCAAAGACTCAGGAAGCTTACTGCTTTCCCCAGGGACCTATCTTCCTACCGCAAGATAAGAGAACCACACATTGATACTAGAGAGAATCACTAGTGCACTGTGGTGGGAAAAAAAAAGCCTTCAGAGAGGGGTTTATGGTTTGGGTTTCCTTTAAATTTTTTGACCCTTCTTATCACTAAACAAAAGCTTGTGGTCTTTTTTAGATCGCCTACAATTAAATTCTTATAAAACCACATGCCTGGATAAAGCTGGTCTTATGCAACTTGGATGAAGCATTTTTCCCACTGTGATTACTATTGAAGAAATCTATCATTATATTTTACAGGGAAGCCTAAAATGCACAGCACTTAGTTAAAAATACAGCTGATCCTCTGTATTTCCAAATCTTCCCACCCTCTGCCACTTATATATGTGAAGGCGAAAGAAAGGAAGAAAATGTAGTAAGAGAGGACTCATTCTTTGCACGTAGGATCACCAGTGATGCTCACCTTCTGTGGGCAGTGAAGCAGGGCGTGCCCAGGCTTACCTTACAGTTTTGTCTGCATGGAAGCCTCCCCACTTCTATGCTGGAGCAATGGTGCTGGTGAAAGCATGGGTCAAGGGTGGTCTTAAATGCAGAGTTTGTTACCCTCTGTGCTTCTTCTCTGTACGTGTGGCTGCAAGCTTGGCTTTGGGCCCAAGGCAGTGGTTCTTGCTTAGGAAGAGTGAGCTTGGACTTTCTGCTGCTGGGCTGGTGCACAGCCGGCCTGAGCTGCCAGACCAAGTGCGGGGTAGGTACTGTGTTTCCTCCTCAGGAGAGGGGCTGCCATTTCATTGCTTGCTTAGAGGAGAGGAAGAAGAGACTGGCTTGAGCACAGCCTCAGATCTGGGCTTCACCAGCAAAAGTGAGACAGAGTTCAGGACTAGAGATTGCTCTGATCCCAATGGGTCCATCTGGTTCCTGATGCACACGTGAGCTGCATCTAACATTAAGAGCAGAGACAAAAGTCATCTACACCTTTCCTCCCAGCAGTACTTTCTCAATATGAACTGTGATTTTTTGGGTGATCTTTGGGGAAGGAATGCCATTACTTACAGCACAGTCACTTGGGATAATATTTATTACCAATAGCGTTTAGCAGGGCAAGCTCAGGCAAGAAAGACCAAATCTTTCCTTCAGGGTATCCATTGACTTACAATTGCAGAAATGCCAACAACAAAAAAAGTCAAATGAAAAATGGAACATGAGTGTACAGGGCTTGATTGAGTAACCATAAAGTTTGAGGGAGGCTTTGCTTTTGTTTGTTGTTGCTTGTTTTGTTCGTTTTACTTTGGGATGTACTTAGGTAGTATTCTACATAAGTGCAAGGGCTAGAAACACTTTTTTAAATGAAATCTGATTTTCTTATATAATAACAGATTTTTTTTTCCAAAAGCATATCATTGCAAAATTCATAAAATTATGAGAATTGGCTATGTAGTAAGTACTACTCCCACTTCTACATGCAGCATTACACAAATCTTTAGTTGATTAAAAACTAGATAACTTTCTTCCACTCACCACACTTGGATTGTTAACCAAACCAAATATCTTCATGTTCTGACTGTCACCCAATCTTACTTGAAACCTTTTGGCCGGCTGGGTTTGTTTCTTTGCTGGAATGAGTGGGACAAGTACTCCACCCCTCCTTTTAAATAGACTTAAGCTGTATCATCTAAGCTACTTGGAACATGGTGCAGGGACCAGCAGTAAAGGATTAACTGTAACAAAATCTTTGTGAGGTTAAAAACTGGACAAGCTGGCCCTTCAAACTTTGTGATGGGCTATTTGCCTGTAACAAACCAACCTTCCAAAACCCAACCTAATTACATCTGTCTGCTTTAAAGGTGATGCGTGAGGGTTTCTGTGGTTAATGGAAGATGCCCCAGTGGAAATGCATCCAGAAAGATGTTAAGACACCATCTCAGACACAGTGGACAAGTGGACTATAGACTAGGATTTAATTAGTGAGAGGCGTTAAAAACCAGCAATCCAAGCCAGCATTCCCTGGATTTTGTCTCTGGCACAGGAAGGGTTTGCATGTTTCCCGCCTGTGGCTTCTATTTTCGCCTGTATTCATTGCTGAGATGCTTCAACACAGCTGTGCTGGTTCATTAACTGAACAGCATGTCACTCAGACCAAGCAAATGGCTTTAGGGTACTGTTTTCCTCAAAGGAAGGGTAGACCTCAGTGAGGAAAGGGAAGTGTTGGTGTAGGAGATATTTGAGAATCTCATGAGATACATTAAAAAAGATGACCAGAGAAGAAAACTCAAGCAAAAGCAAGGTAGTTTCTCACAGCAAAAAGGCTGGCACTCAAATGGAGATTTCACCAGTAATCCTCAGCCACTGAAACCCTACTGAGACACCAGTGACGAACAAACCAAGATCTTCCTTTATGTTACAGCCAACATCTCCAGCAGAGAGCTCACCTCTCCTTCAACTTTCCCTACAGGCCAAGAAGTAGATACTTGGCAGACACTAAGGGGACACCAAGAATGAGAGAAAGTGATTCCCAGCATCCCCACCCTCTTCTACTCATCGCATCCTGCTCTCAGGCAAGAGCCACGCACAAAATTATAGCACGCTCAAGCCTTGCCCTTGAATGCTTCAGTTAGGAAGGTGCCCTGCCCTATTCCAGAAGCTGCGTCAGAGATGTGCTGAGCCGTGCAGCTGCTCGTTGGGCACCGTTTCCAAAGAAACAGGGTCCCTATCGTGCCGCGAATGACTCATGCTGAGATCATCCCACTCAGGAAGAGACAGAAGGAATGGTCCCACCTCTTCCTCCAAGGAGGGCTAGAGGCGTGGAAGGGCAAAGCAGGTGCTACAACAAACAGGGAGGTTCGGGGCTTCCCGATGCCTTGCCCCTTGGATCCCTGTTTTGAGCAGGGCAGAGGGAGACAGGCCGTGAGGAACATGCTGTCCGCCAGCGCACGCTATGGCATCCATCACAGTGACAGGCCTTGGCCGTGGGCGGCCTGGGAGGGGTATCTGCGGCACGCGGCCCCAACATGCCGGCGTGCCTCTGCTCCTCTCCCTGGGCCCCGCTGTAACCATGGTGTTGCCCAGCCACGACTCAGTCTCCCTGCCCCTGCCTCACCTCATGAATGAATACAGCCCCTCGTAACCGCCCCGTCCTTCATGCAGGTAGTGTCTGGAAGACCGCTGTAGGTCCAGGTGGTATAAAGGGACCTGGCTTTAAAGGGAAGAGATTAGGAAATCCACATGGCACTGTGGAAAGCACAAAGTCTCCGTGACTATTATCATGCTGGTACTGACCCTATCTCAATACCTAGCTGTAGGGTCACTCATCAAAAACATTTCTCGAAGCATCCAAAACTAGTTTAAAAAATGAGTTTCCTCCAAAAACCTGGTTCAGGTTCACGCAGCTCAGCAAGAAGGGACACCAGCAGCCCTAGCACTCCCAGCTCCCCCTTTGTAGTTCACAACTCAGCATGAACCATTTACATGCTGAATCTACATCTCCAAAAACAGCTGCTTGAGAAAACAAGTCTGTAATGCTATTTCTCAGTCCATCCTGATCTGCTCATCACCGTGTTGTTTTAGCCTTAGACTTGCATTGTTACAGCTCTTCCCAAATGGGATTCCTTGGCAGTCGCCTCCCATACACATGCACATGTCTGCAACATGCAAGCTGCTTACGCCTGCTCTTCCAAGCAATCGTTGCTGTTCAAATTGCCCATTAGAAATCCACCTTGGCCCCAAAACTAAAGAGATTGACAAAAACACAATTTTACTGCTCTTCCTGCAAAACTCTTGAACTCCCGAAAGTTGAACACATGAAAGCAATCTGAGGTTAGCGTGTAATACACAAACCACATAAAAGAGATAATTTAGCATTAGACACATGTTACCAGAAACAGGTTGAAACTAATACAGGTTTTGCATTCAGGTCATAAAATACAGCACTTATATCATCTTGTGAGGCATCCCTACTTAGTGTGCCTTGGTGGGGGATAACTACAAGAGCTCTTATGTCTATACGAGCTGAAGACAAAAAACATCCTTCCCACCTCCCCCCAGGAGAGACACTCACCTTTCCAGGACAGTCTCTGAAGTCTCTAAATGGTGACAGACAATCCACAAGATACGAGCCAAAGCTCTTTTCTTCTTTTCTTTTCCTGTTCCAAAGCTACTGAAAGGTCATGACAATGGTCCGAATCCAAACACTGCTTCTCATCCAGATCCCCCTCTACTTTGCTCTCATGAGACCCCGACTGGAGCACTGTGTTCAGCTCTGGGGCCCCCAGTACAAAAAAGACATGGACCTATTAGAACGAGTCCAGAGGAGTCCATGAAGATGATCAAAGGTCTGGAGCACCTCTCCCATGAAGGCAGGCTGAGGGAGTTGGGGTTATTCAGCATGGAGATGAGAAGGCTCCAGGGAGAACTTACAGGGGCTTTCTAGTACCTAAAGGGGGCCTAAGTTGGGAAGGGACCCTGTCAGGGAGTATGGTGATAGGACAAGGGGGAATGGCTTTAAACTAAAAAAGGGTAGGTTTAGATTAGATATTAGGATGAAATTCTTTACTATGAGGGTGGTGAGGCACTGGAACAGGTTGCCCAGAGAACTTGTGGATGCCCCATTCCTGGAAGCGTTCAAGGCCAGGTTAGATGGAGAAGGCCTTTGGTAATAACACTGTTGTTTAGCACTGCCATAGTGTGTTTTAAAAACTGATGCCAATAATCCAGATGGAGCACCAGCAGTGACAGATGGGCATGGAGGGATGAGCACAGAGATCAGCCTACAAGAGGTACTAAGGAACCCATGTGAGATCTGTCTTCTGTGTGAGCCACACACAACCTAACACAAATGACTTCTGTCCATTTTTGATCCTGTAGGATTCAACGATGCTTCTACTACTTTTACATACCTTGATGCCCAGCCTCTCACAGTAAACCAGAAACAACAACAAATTAAACATATTTCAAATAAGATGGAGTTCTGAAAATAGAGCTGTATTGCACCTTTAAAAAGCATGCTGGCTGACAGACTGGCTATACTTTGAAAGTTTGGTATGAAAGAGCTACACAGCAAAATGCTAAATCCCTCTAGAGAACAGAATGAAATAAAAGCATATATTTCATTTCTTAACACCTTGTCAGCAAAATTCTGTTTCCTGGGCAAGCTTTTTTTTTTTCTCTTTTGCAAAATTATGGTGCTAGTTTGCCAACGATGCTTTCCTAAGAACAACCGCTGAAGCAACGTAGCAGCTTTCTCATCCTGCCTCTTCCAACACTTTAACACTCCCTCCTGCAGCCCAAGTAGAAAATTCTTTGCCTTGGGGCCTGCGATGAAACTCATACAAGTTACCAAGAGAAAATGCTATAGCGATGTAGAATCCACTTCCCTCTTTCTTTTGTCCCCCCACCTTTTTTTTTTTTTTTCCTTTTAAGTTCCTGGCCCCAACTTTCAAATACCGTTCCAGCTAGAGTCTCAGAAATTGGTTTGATTTGAGCTATTTCTACCGATGTATTTTAGATTCATACAAACCCATTAAAGGGGCACCAAAAATATGAAGACCTATGCTGAAAAAATTTTCAAAGTGACCAATGGCCCAACTTCCTTTTATTCCTAATGATAAGCTAGGCAAACAGGATGTTTCAAAAGATTTTGTGGTCTGCATTCAACTTACTCAGCAGTTTGAGGAAAAACTTGGATGGAGATGTGAGTTTCAATCAAAGCACACTGTCACCGAGAATGCTTAGGACCTGCCTGTAAACTGGGCAGTCACTGAAGACTGCGGGAAAAAAGTCTATGTCCTGTTTTTTACTCTTTATTCTCTACCCTAGAATAGCTGGAAGAATAGCAAAGATATCACACACTGACCTTAATTAAGACAGTGATTCACCCTTTGCTTTCTGAACACAAACAGAACAGCTTGCTGCTGGAAGGCTTACTGGCAAACAGAGTTTGGGTGAAAAGGGCAAAATTACCATGCAGGGCCTCTTTTGAGGCAGAATAGGGTTCCTGAAAGTCACAGCCCAGAAAATAAGCTTTTTTTTTTTTTTTTTTTTAAGAAGCTCAGAGAAAAACAAATATTGAAGATACTGTTTTGATACTTTTTTTTTTTTTGAGAATGTGGAAATCCTAAATTAACATAACTTTACTCAGATATGTATAAAAACAAGGCCTTCTTCAACCTGATGAAACAATACATCTATTTTACAATTTAAAAAAAATTACAAAACACAGAAAACAAGCTTGTATTTGGATTCTTCCACAACTCTTTTTTCTTGTTCACGACAAAATGCTCCTCCAGAACATCTCCAGAAATAATGTTTGCCTTGTAAGATTTAGCACAATATATTTCAGTATTATTCATTGGACTCACATGAAGTTAATTTCAAAAACAATATTCTCTTTCACTAAGGAGACCCAATATTGACAGTATAATGGAGAAGGGAAGATTTCTTTCCAGTTTTATCACTGAGTCATTCCGGAGGTCTCCAGATGAACCAAAACAAATTTCAAACAAGGCTCTTTCAAAGAACAGAAAAGGCACTAAAAATATCACTAATGATATTTCTATGAGTGATCTACAAATCTGTTACATGTAGTCACTACACAGTCTATCTTGAGTGTCTAAAAACTGTCAATAACTGAAAATATTCAACTCAGTTTAGAGTCAGGAGAGTAAATGCCTTCATAAGAATGAGGGAACATGTTGGTAAAGAACACTTTCCTACTGTGCTACAAAGCTCTTGGATTTTGATTTTAAAGATTTCAAAACAACAAGGGCATTGAAGACAACATGGACAATTTGGTGTACAATCCAGTTTTTGCAATCCAAGAGCAAATGCTCTTACATTGCTGTTACACCAATGGCACGAATGCCTGACAGCGAGCTAGAGCAGTTAGCACAAGCTCAGAAACTGCAAACACTAAGTTCGTAGATGAACCCCTCCAAATTGTTGGCACAGCATGTGCCCTGGACAGCATCCCCATCAATCTGGAATCATGGTTTGGACTACTTTCTATGAAGAGAAGATGGAGGGTTTACAGCTGACCAATACTTAGATGCATTGCTGATGAAAATCCCATGAAAAAATGTGCTCAGGGAGTGAAATTCAATCCTGGCCAGAAAGCCAGCGTAGCGAGATCACCACTGCTGTTGGATGGATGCTTCCCAATGCTGCCACAGACATGACCTCCGTGGTGAAAGGCTGTGCGCTGCCTTGAAGAGGTGTGTATTGCTTCCTTAAATATTCACATAAAACAACATTATATTTGGGATTTAAAAAAAAAAAAAAAAGAAAAAGAAATGAATGAGAAATAGGGAAAACTAAGAATACAAAATCAACTCCAATCATAACAGAGTCAGAAACTTATAAAGAAGCTTCTGGAGAAAGCATTCTGACATGGAAGTGAGCAAAAAGCCTTGGAATAAGACATTTCAGGCCAAAACTTCAACAAAATTTCCAAACTTTGTATCTTCCTGGTGACAATGCTTTACTGTAAAAAGAGGCAAAGTGGCCTTTCTGGCAAACTCAGCTCAGAAATCAAAGCAGCCCAGCAGGGAAGTGGGGAAAGCCACAGTTCTGGTCTGATTTGAAGACTTTTAAGTGGTCCTAGAGAAGCAGACCAGAAAGTAGCATTTCTAAAATGGAAAGAAACCAAATTCAAGGCTCAGGCATCCTCCAAATTTGATGTTTGATCACATATAAAGAATATTTGGATTCAATCCTAAATTCAGTGAACTGTGAGACATGGCATACCCATTTCTATTTTAAGGGCTGGGGAATATTTCAGGCAGACTTCCTTCTCACAGAGCACGAACAGTGTGGGCAGCAGAAAGGCAGACTTGCTCACTGTGCCACTGCCAACATGCTTTTGTGCTGCCCAGGAGAAAACCCCTTCTTAAAAAGGAGGGCAAGCTGCTCGGTAGTGGGAACTGCAAGCATGGACTTTGTTAGAGTGAACGTTGGCACCAGACACATGGGTCTTCTCTTCCCCGCTCTCCCTGGTCCACTTCCTAAGTGTTGGTGAATCCTTCTGCCAGACCATGACTTCTTTGAGAAAAGAAGCCTGACTCTAACTGTTCATTTGAAACCTCCTGACCTGTCCCCTGCCAAAGCCAATGTGCTTATATGGGAATTGGAAACATTAAGAACTGACTTTGAAATGAAGATCTAATCCCTAGACTCTTCACGCAATCACACAAAGTCTGACATACAAATACTTCCAACAAAATCTTGATTTTCCTATCCAATCCTATGGTGAAACTGGAGAACAGAACTTAGCGTCCAGATCAGACAACAGATGCATGTGAAGGATTTTGTTTATTTAGATCATTAACAATTTGGAGAGAGAATTCTGATTTATAAATTAACAGAGCCAGAGAGAACAGCAGTGGTCAGCTAGGGCTGGTTTCTGAAAGGACGCCAGCATCAAGGCCGCTCTGAATGAAAACCTGCATGAAGCAGGTAGAAAAAGCATCCATTCTCTACTCGCCAATGACAGAACAAATCACAACCCTGACTTTTGCTCCAAGAATGGTGTCCACTATCAGAAGTTGAAGGCTTATATACAATATGATCTCATCCAACTTCTCACTACTGATTCTCGTTATTACTAACGCCCAAAGGGGCTTCTGGTTTTGAACTTATGTTCCTTATATAGCTCGCTTGAAAACCGGACTTGAGCTTTTCTTGAATTGCTGCTTGGTAAGATAAGTAGATGGGCTCCACTGCTAAAGCATGTTTTCCAATCCTTCAGTCATTCTTGTGGCTCTTCTCTGAAACATCTCCAATTTTTCAACAACCTTCTTTAATTGTCAGTACCACAGCTGGATGGAGTGCTCCCAAAGCAGTTGCACCTATGCCAAACACAGCAGTAAAGTGATCCCTGGGTATATAAACAGGGGATATCAAGTAGGTGTTAGGAAGGATCCAAGTATTGCTTTAGCCCCCTTGGCCACAGCACTGGAGTGAAAGGTGACATTCAGCCAATTATCCATTCAAACTCTCAACTGGTTTCCAGATTCCTATTTCTGAACACATTCTATCCCATCTGGTACATAAATCTCACAGTATTAATTTCCTTTACCTGTAGCATCCTGAAAAGAAAAATTATTTGCCATTTCCACTCTATTGAGGGATCCAAACTCTGCTAAGCCAGTCTTTCTGCATCTGCTAACGTCAGCAGTGGGGAGTCAAGGTCTCCTTCCAGTCACTGCTACACCATTAAACAGCTCAAAGCACAGACTAGATGACTGGCAGGATCCAACTAGGAACACAGCTAACTGATGTGTTTACACTTCAAATCTATCCAACAAATTCCACTTTGAGATCTGTAACTGGAATAATTGGAATCCATGTAACTTTTCCTATTTGATACTCTACCATTTGAGTTTATGAAAAATACCTGTGTGAGCAAGTTAAAAGCCTATAGGAAGTTCTTACATCAACATTAGTACACTAATCAAAGAGGTTTCTTTTTTTTTTTAATCCATCTGAGTTTGACTGAAGTTATTTTCTAGTAATCCATACTAAACACCTCTTCATAAATCATATTGCTTTAGTATGTGCTTTATTGTATGAGTCCTTCTGAATTTCCAGGGATTAGTATTAATTAATATTAAGGATCTTAGCGACCTATTTAAAATATTGATCTACAATTAGATTTCCTATGTCTCTAGTACCTCCCCACTATTGAAGGGCTTACTAGTAATCAAAATAAAAGGCCTAGGGAGCTCTTCATTTTTGTAACTCTAGGACTTAAATTAAAAAAAACAGCAAACAACTACTACAAAAAATCCACCACAGTGATTTGCATATGTAACTTTAGAACATGAATGTTAAGTGTACTCCCAAGTATCAACAAAGTGAAAGTTACTTCCTTATCTAGAGAAAACATTCATCCTCTGTTTATTTTCAAGATACAAAGAGGGCCTTTTTTGTGCCCCTCTTGCCAATTCTATCACAGCCAGTCAACTGATTGAAAACCCAAGGATTATTTAGTTCAAAATCTATTGTTTTCTTCATTTAGCTGATTTTTTGACGGTGCTCTAACAAGGCTTTCTTTGAAGCACCACAACCCAACTGTAATTGGGCATTCATGGGCAAAGAAGCAGAGGCACTTTCTATACTTATGAAAGCAATGAACTCAAGCATCCTGAGAAGATCTGATGCACAGTATTTTTTCAGGCCTCGGCCCCACTGCCAATGTTCCCATATTTCATTATTCTCCAAAAAGCTGTAGGTTACCCTCTGTCTCAGTGATGGTTGAGTCTCTATGCTCTGGTCTGCTGCTTCCGTGAAAACACGGACCTTCAGATCACCAGCAGCTGGCTGCTGAGGAAGACACTGTTTCAGAATTGTTAAGCTTGCGATTTTACTGAAGGTCATTTTCTCCCCATCTGCAAGCAAGCATGGCCCAACTGGCGGGTGTATTAAAATAAACAGATGCTATCAGCACCAGCAACAAATTATCTTCTGAGGCTTTGTAATTTCTGGAGAGTGGCAGGTTGTGGCAAGTCGATTTACATTTAGGATGGAGAAGGAGAGAAACAGAGGTTACACCAGCATTAACATGTAATTCAGTACAAGGGAAAATGAACAGTAAATTGAAGCTGGACATCTAGACTATGAAAGAAGCTATTAGTTATGTACCCACCTCACTCCTAGTGAGGCACACAGCACACCATGTGTATACAAGTAGGTTTCACACCTGAAAAGAATTTGTGCTTTGTGCTCAATTGATACAAGCCCAGAAAAAATACGTGCCCATGAATGTTTTCCCTGAAGATGCAACTGTTTGCTTCAAACACTTCATTGCACCAGAACTTGGGGGTGAGTTACAGGTGGCAGCTGGAGAGGAACACCCACTGCCTTCTTCCCATTTCCAGCACAGTACTTTTCTATGTATGAGATTCCGGTTCCAAAACCAGAGATCTTAGGTGGTATATCAGAATTCAAGAATCCTTTCCTTGCTTCACTACAGGAATGGGTGGTTACATCTCCCTATACATCTTCAAATGCACAAATATTTTAGCATATACTATAATATATATATGTACTTGGACAAATAGCTGACTAGCTACAGGAGTGCAGTCCTTCCATTTTCAAAGCCAGGAATGCAACAGGAGGACTGAAAATTCTCATAGGTTGTGACAAACAAGTTGATTTCATATTATTCTTGGCCAGGAAGCCTTGACTGATCTCACCTGTTAAAGTTGCTCTTTCTATCATAAAGCTCAATATATGTAACCTATGAGCTAGTTCCACACAGGACCATCCTCCTTCAGGTAGCTGCTGGTTTCACTTGCTGTCCTGATTACTCATTTCCCTTACCTGTCAGAGCACACTGAAACTTCCATTACAATTCTTTGCCTGGTGTTCACTGAAGGTCTAGCTGGGGACAGCTGTACACCACGGGGTTCAACGAAGCAGTACCAATCCTTCCTTGAAATAATTCAAGGGAATTTGCAGGCCTTATTATTTTTCCTACTTAATAGCCAGTTCAGAACAAAGAAATATGTTCAGTAAGATGACTCAAAACTAGGAGTTCTCAACCGTTTCAAGTTAAGTAGCCTTTCAAATTCCAGGGCAGCAATTCATATACGTCTGAAATCAATCTGGAAACACCTAGATTGTTCTATCAAGAGTCAATCACTGATTGCTCTGACATCTCCTTTTCAAACTCACGGTTCAACTGCAGTGCAAAACAAAATTAGGTGCTGATTCTATGATTTAAAGAGCATCCAAACACTAGAAATCAATGAATCCAGTCTCCTGCCTCATACGCCTCTGGACTGGTATCAAACCTGGGGTGCAGCATCTCATCTTTCTAGCATAACATTTACAAAAATCTGCTATTTCTCTCTCAAACACTTCTGAGGTTCCTTGGTTTTCAGCTCAGTTGAAAACAGGAGCTGTATTGTTTCTTTCCCTCCCCTAATACCTGCTTGTATGTTAGGGAAATCTAGGTGAAATGGCTTGTGAAATGGCTTTCAAGGGTCAGGTCTATATATTTGATTATAGGCAAATCACTACATCTCTCAACGTTTTAAATGATGCTGAAAAAAACCTCACCAGAGGAAAAAGTCCAAATATTCTCCCAAGAAAACTGGGCTAGCACAGTTAAAGCACAAAAGTTTCCATAGCCAAAAACATTCACATCTGGATGCTTTTAACATTGTCAGTGTGGCCAGACACCCACTTGTATTTGGGTGTTGTGCAATTTCAGCATGAAACTCAAACTCACACCATGAAACCAGAAGAAGCAGCCTAACACTTCTGCCATCACACCCTTTCTTGTAAATATTCAGTCCTAGAGAACTTCTTCCAGCTCTAGGGTTTGGAATAACTTGTTTTCAGACCAAAGCTGTCTTCTCCAAACCAAGTCCTGTATCCTGGCTGAGTTAGCTGAAGTTAAATCAGCATAAAATTAAAATAGCACAATGGAAAGTCAAGGCCTAGTGTTAAATCATGAATCTATTTTTACCTGGCAAAGCATTTAAACATGTGTTTGAGATCCAAACATCTTAAGCATACACTTAAATTTAGTCTTGTGTTTACATGCATTGTTAATCTGGATCTTATAAATCAGCTGATTTTGTGAATGCAGCTGAAATTTTGAGATTTTTAAAAGAAAACACACAACATTGATCTCCACAGATGAAAAAGTACTCACAGGCTCAAATACAGAAACTTGCAAATGGAGCAGGAGAAGCTGAATACTTGCAAGTGGTCCAAAAGCTCAGGCAAACCTGGAGAAAGGAAAAGGAATATTACAAAGAGAACTGAGATGGCACAAGGAAAACAAAAACAGGAGCAGGTTCAACCTCAATAGCAAAGGGATACACAAATGGTAGTGCATGGCAGAGAAAAGTTTTAGCTAAAAAGCTAAAGGCAGTACTTAAAACATGCAGGATGCAGGCCTTGCACAGAGTGGCTTTTTTTGGTCACTGCCTTCCAGTTTCTGGCCATCCACAATTTAGGGATTTGAGGCAACATCCCAACTCATACAGGTCATCGTGTTTAGTAGCCTATGATGGATCCTAGGGGATTTTATTTGATCCTATTCTGAATTTATTTTCATTTTGCTATTTTCTATATCCATTACTACTTCCACAATAGAATCACTAACAATACTGCTTTGATTTTAAACTGCTGCCCTTTTAGTTTCTTTAGTACTCTTAGTTCTAATGTTAAAGGGAAGAGGGAATGATCATTTCCTACCCACCTCCTCTATACCGCTCACGATTTCATAAGCCTCTGTAAAATGCTTAAGTTTTCAAGACTGAAAAACACTGCTTTATTTAGATTTCTCCTTAAAAATAAAAGGGAGACATTTCAGACCTCTGGCTACTCTTATTGCTCTTTTCTATGTCTTTTCTACTTCTACTGCATTTTTTTTCCCCAATTTGAGTGAGCAGTCCTGCACGCAGCAGGAAAGATGCAGGAACATCACAGAGAAACCACTACCTCTATCTCTAATGGGTCTATTGCAATAGCATAAGGTATTTGTTTTCTGCTCGATTATTCCCAGCTCCAAGAATTCCTCTTGGTCACTTACATGACTGCTAGAACTGGTCTGGTATCTGTGGAAAATCAGCAACAATGGCTTTACTGATTAAGTTCCTGAACACAGAAACCATAGCTACCTAGAGGCATGAATGGTCAAGACTATTTTCCCCTGTATTATTTAAACTTTTTGACATTGACTTTCATCTGCCACTTCATTGCCCAGTCTCTCAAGATCTAAAGATCTTTGTGTCTCGTGCTTCTCCAGATGCTTCATTCCTTCGAAGAATTTCACAGTTCGTGATGCAGTGACACACATCTGTATTTACAAAGGCTGTATTCACACATCTGCAATATAACATATTTATGTATGCAGCCACTAACTCTGTTATAATTTCCTCCAATTTTTTTCCTGGTACCAAAGCCAGACTTCAGTAGTCTGTAGGGTTTTTTTTAATCCCTGCTGGAACCCTTTTTAAGATTGGTGTCACATTATTTACCTCCTCTGGGATCAAGACTGATTGAACCCAAAATCTCATACCAGAGTAATTTAGAACATTTGCGTGAATATCATTTGTCATGGTGATTTGTTATTGTTCATTTCATTGATCTGTTTTAAAAGCTCTTCTATTAACAATTCAATTAGAGGCTTTTCCTTGAGCTCAAACCTTGGAGGACTTCCTATTTACCATGCATCCATTGCCTTCTGCTATTTGCTACACAGTGGCCTTATTGACCTCAATTGCTCCTTTCACGCCTTGGTCATTTGCTGATCCCACCATTTCCAGGCAGACTTCCAACTCCTGTTGCGTTTGGAAGAGCTTTTGTTATTAGTTTTTGTCTTTTGTGAGTCACTCCTCAAACTATCTCAGTATATGCTATTATGGTTTTACATTTAACTTGGCAGACATTATATTCCTATTTTCTTCATTTAGGCACGATCTCCACTTTTGAAAGGATACCTTTTTATTTCTAATAGTCCCCCTTGCTCTACAATTTAACTGTACTAGGCTTTTTTTTTTTTTTGGTTGGGTTTATTTTTGGAAGAAGTGAGATGTTTTCTTTGATTTAAAGGGATGCTACTTACACTGCTCATTTACATGCTCCTTTAGTGTTATTTAAACCACTTTTTAAAGAAAAAAAAATATTGTAATGGTGTTTGTTTCTTTAAGGGTATTATTCCTATGAAATTATTGAATTTGACCATGCAATGGCCACTACTGCAGAACAAACTCAGTACAGTGGTTATAGCTGAGACTAGGCCTCAGTCAGGAGTGTCTTTCCCTTTTATTGGTTCATGAGTTTCTTCAAGTAGTTTAAACATGTTGACTAAAGTTTACTCTTTATATCTTACCTAGGATAAATCTTCTGCAGTCTCTCTTCTTCCATAGTCTCCTTCTACTGCCTGTAACCTTTCTTAGTATTTCATGGACATTGTCACTGCCGTGGCCAGCTGTTGACAAGGATAACCTTTTCAAATGTTTTTCTTGATTTGGCATAGCAACTTTCAAGAAAAAGTGGGTGGTAAACGATGATACAGATAACTGATTTATCTTATTGGACTCTGATTTCCAACACATTGTGAGTCACTCTACCAACGGCAAAATCTATTCTTGTCATTTCTACATAATAAGTATCCTGATAACACAGCTTCATACTGATTAGCTTCATTCAGTAAGATTACTGGGAAGCCAGTACAATACAATTCACCCATTCTCATTTTATATACATTTATAGAAAAGCACAGATAGTTTTGGTTTTGGTCTAGTTGCCAGTATGTATGTGCCTTGTTTAACTGTGGAATTGCTTAGACTGCTCTATTTTATTTACAACTGAACTTCATTGGTGGTTGTCCTTTCCTGCCACAGGGGCACAGAGCTTTTAATGCCGGGGAACTCAAAATCAAGAGAAGTATGATCTTTTCCAGGTCCCCATTTCAAATAATTTTTAAGGGCTCCCCTACTATTTGTTTTTGTTTCCAGTGCCACTAACCTAGTTCTCACTATTTTGGAAGAAAACAACTATCCCACAGAATATCTCCTTCCATTCCTAGGGTCTGTCCTGTTCTAAATAGTCTAATTCCTTGTGGCCACACTGCTTCTTCAGCCACACACTGCATCACTGCTTGTCTGGGTGACCTTCCACATGCTGCTGGAAGCGTTTCTAGAATACTGTAACGCAGTTCCTGGTCTTTACCATCCTTTCCTATCAAAATGTTATATTTTGCCTCCTGGAGCCCTCCCCTACGTTTTGTCAGTGCTCATACAACCATGACCAGACATGATGAATGAGGAAGGTCACCGGCTCCTTTCCAGTATACTCTAAAAGGCTGCCCAGACACCACAAGATACAAAACCTCCAGTGCTTAGGCAAACCACCACGTGCTCCCTCCTGGCCTCGTATTCCCAGTTATCAACCCCACACAGCACCGCACCCTGCCTCTTCCTACCCAGCGGCATTGTTACCCTTTCCTCATGCCTTACTTCAGTGGATTCACAAAGTCACCTTCCAGCAAGACACAAGGGTCACATGGATGGCAACTTTTGCACACGTTTATTTATTAATTCTGAAACACAATTTTATGATTTCTCTTACTGCAGTGTTCAAGTAGAACAGCAAATCAAGCAAATTCTCCTAACCAAATCCCTTCTAAAACATTCACTGTGCTCAGCACCCAGAAAACAGAAAGCTTTTCTCTTACCACACATCTAAACCCAGCACAAAAACAGGTGAACCTCTGTTTTCCAGGAAGAATATCTAGTGCTTGTATTTCCTGTCACCACAGTTCTCACTTTCCCGTGTTTAGGAAAGTTTTCTTCTGTCTAGAAGCCACTGTTTGGGGGAACACAATCAGGGGTTTCACATTTATTTTATTTCCTAAAGACTGACCCTGAGTGTAATTTGCAGAGAATACATGGTATAAAACAGATCAGGGAGTCTGGCACAAAGACAGGAGGTGCCTTTACCCTTTGGGCAATTATACGTGAAACGTAAAACCCAGCAACAAGTCTTGCATTTAATCCTCTTTGCACCCCTTAGCCCCCTGCCAAAGACTAGAAATCCTTCTCCTTTTAAAAAGAATAAAAGATTCCAGAACACATAATCGACTCCTCCCTTCAGCCCTCAATACTGACAGTTTTATCTCTATACACAAAGCTTCTCCCCCTTCCTCCAGCCTGGCAACAAAACCCAAGCTCAATGAATATTTTATACGTGTGTGGTTAATGGAGCATTCTGGCTCCAGTCCATTAGGAACCTTACACAACGGCGCATTAACTGCTTCTCAATGTAACATTTCGAGTCTGTCCAAAAGAGATGTGTGTTTGCCAGTTGAGCCAACATACTATTATTGTCTTGTCAGCCTAGTTCCTGTCTTTGGTTCAAGAGCGGGGTCCCTTGCCACAGCACTTTGCCACCATTGTGCTCCCAGCAGCAACCCGAGAAGGTTAGCCCCGATCCCAGCTCCAGTCTTCCCTCTGTATTCTGAGGTCTGTATCTCAGGTGGGGTGGGGAATGCCTGCAGCCTCTCCTGCAAAGATGTACACAGGGATAAGCAATCACATCACAGATTAACACAAGGGTAAATATAAAGCAATTAAGACGAGATCTTTAATTCTGATGGGAACCAGGCCTCCATATTCTTTCATCAGCTCTGAAATTTTGGCCTTAAAATCCACCCGATTGAAAAATTGATAGCAGAATGATGATGCTTGGCAAAGCACTTATCTTCTCACTTTAAAAACCTCCTCTGTTCCTTAGATAGACAAGGGCCATCACAGACAGAACACCATCTCCATCAAACCCAGCACAAAGTTATCTCAACAAAGAGATGGGCACAGATCACTCCCCTTACAACAAGAGACATTATAACATTTCACTACACATGAACGACACCCATGGTAAATGGGGGGAAGAAGATCACTGCTGGATTTGCCAGATGAAGAGCTCTGTGAGAGTTAGGGGTCCAGCTTTGACCGCTCACCTATGCCTCCCTGACAGTTTGGGTTGAGTTCAGGCGCTTCCAAAGCGTGAATCATCCCAACCTAAGGCAGATGTCTAGAACAGGTAAGATGAATGGCATGGGTTGTTTATCACTCCTCACCGCCCCAAGAGAGAGCCTAGATGAAAATCTTAGACTTCATGTCTAAATTTTAGATAACTAAAATCAGGTGAGATGATTCCCAACCCCAAGGTTTGCAGACTCATTTCCAGATGAGCCACAGACCCTGACAGACTAAGTAGGGCAGAAAACAACGAGATAAAGAAAAGTGCTGATGTGGAAGGACTGATCTCATTCCTTCCCTGCCTGAAAGCAGAAAAAGCTTAAGTTTCAGATGGCAAAGCCCAGCCTTTGCTCTCACGTCACTGCTGAAGCACAATGGAGGAAAGGAGACACCACTATTCACTTTGCAGGACCTTGTGGTGCTTTCTGTAACATCTCCAGGAGGTAGTCACCATTCACGAGGTGACTGGGTATTACACACCAGTAAGCAAGACCCAGCAGAGACACCTCTGAAGTCAGGCTGCTTCTCCTAGGGGCACACACAGCAAATCAGTCATTCTACCAACAGATCCACTTATCGGCCCACTTTCTTCTCCCTCCTTGATCCCTCAGCTCCCCTCAACATTTTTTCCCCCTTCAGAGCTATCATCAATGGAAAGTTTTGCGATTTAGCCGAAAGCAGCCAAAGCACCTAATTGACTGAAGAAGGGAAATGGCAACTTCCATCATCTCAAAAAGCTGCACCTTTCTCCTACTCATCTCAAAGCTGAATAAAGGAATTAAAAACATAGCCCCGGGCAGCCAGCAGAGATTTACAAGAAGCAGACATTAGTTCTCACTCTAAAGGCTGGGCGTGTATGCATGTGAGCCAGAAGGAGCAAACACAGAGAAAGGGAGCAGAAACATGCAGTCTTTGCGTTTAAAGAGGAGGAAGGAAAAAAAAAAAAAAAAAGACCTTTAAACCCTTCCTAATAAAACAAAGATCATCCTGGCAACATGAAATGCTACCCTACTTTGTTTATTTATCGACACAAAGAAAGAAGCAAGTTGGCACCTCAGAGGGTATTAAATGCTGTTTTTTTGCTGACTGAATGACCTCAGCCGAAATATTTTCCATGACAAGAGCCCAGAAGACGCTGGCACAGAGTCAGACAATAAGATTTTCAGAGTGTATTTACATTCTATCCATGGCCCCAGGCTGTTCCAAACCCATAGGCAGGTGCTGCCTTTATCTGTTCTTTGCTCACCTGGCTCCCTAGCAAAATGTTCTGAGGCCTGCGGCTCAGCTGTCTTAACTGTTTGCTGCCTGGTGCTCAAAAAGCCAAGAAACTTCAGAGACATCGAGGAGCCTGGCAAATGGAGATGGGAACTCTGGTCACCCTTCGTGCCTGACCTGAGTGATGCGTAAGGAGATTTTCCAACAAGCAGACAGAAAACGATGGTGCTACAATAGGAAAAGGCAAGTAAATATTTGTTGAATTCACTCTGAAGAGAGAGATTCTCTAAAAGAGGAAGGGAAAAGGTTGTTCTTCCAGGGATGCACTGCATTCTCCATCGCTTGGGGATCTTTAAGCTAGGTATGGATAGCTCCCTGAGGAAAACCTCAAGATCCTGCAGAAGACCAGAGGAGAGGGTCACAGTTGCACCTTCTACCCATGAAATCTGTCTAGGACAACATGCCACTATCAAGCAGGGGATGGCCACCAACCCACATCTCCACAGCAGTGAACAAAAGGGATGGAGGCAGGTTAAGCCACAAAGAATCGCAGGCTTGCGTCTTCCAGCTTCACAGCTCAAATTCCCTACATCACAGGCTTCCAGCTACATTTTCTCCCCGTAGACCAGCTCCTGACCTGGTCTTCAGCAAAACGATCTGTTCCATTCCTGTGGTGGAAACAACCTCCTCTTTGCCCAGTTTAACTTGGCTCCCAGTGCACAACTCCTCTCTCTTGAGTAATAAGCCTCCAGGAGATGCTGCGAGAGGATACGCCCTTAATACCGCGCAACCAGGAAGAATGATAATTGCACTTTTAACAGCACTATGTACAAGGCAGCCACCAAAGCAGAGGAAGCATGAATTAAAGCAGGATAAAAAAGGAGGGGCTTTACCATCTACCTAATAAGGTATTATTCATGGGTTTGGAAATCTTCCTTGCAGATAGTGAGAGGCATAATGGGTAGTCAGAAGCAACTGTGTCTGGAAAAGCGAAGGCCTGCCTGCCAGCTCACAGCACCCTTGCCATGCTGGACTCAGCCTCTACCTTCTCAGCCTACAGCTCCCCTCCTTTTTGCATCTTCTTAACACACATCCTTTTAACCCATTTCATACTCAAGTCTGCTCCCCCCTGCCCACATGCATGGCTCAGGTCTGGCCCACTCACGCATACCTTTACACCAATTCCTCTGGTCCCATTACCTACACCTAACCAAGGAAAATTTCTTTTTCCCAT